ACAGTGGTATCACAATGCATCTTATATGTGTTTGGGTATCACACTGAGGTCGTTTGTATGGTCGATCGAAGATGTAAGACAGTGGTATCACAATGCATCTTATATGTGTTTGGGTATCATACTGTCTTTTGTTTAACAAAGTCAACATTTTTAGGCATTACAGTGGTATCATCGAAGGACGGGGGACGGAGAGAGGAGAATACCTAAAATGTCATTGCATTAAACTTTTAATTCAAAATTACCAAAATTATAAATTTTCTAATTTAACTATTGATTTGTGATTGAGATTGGATCTTACGATTACCACAAACTAGTCAGTTCTTCTTTGAATGACCCCTATATATATATATATATATATATATATTATAATAATAAGTTTTCTTTTAGTTGTCACTAATCTTTGATTTATTTATATTGATTCATAGTGATAACTATAAAAAGATATATGAAAAGTTTGATAAATTTATTAATATATTGATTTGTAGTATAAAAAACATATGAAAGAAAATGATAAACATGAAAGATAAAAAGTTTGATTATGATGAAAAGTTTGATTGTTTGATTTTGATTTAAATGAAAAAAGAAAATAAAAAGGTTTTTATAATTAATGTGGTGATATTATTTTAAAATAAAGAGTGAATTATAGATTAGGGTTCATGTTGTTTAACAAAAATTATGACGTGCATCCCTAAACTTAAAAAATTATGTGTTTGGTCCTTGTGGTTGTCATTTTGTTACGACTATGATCCCTCTCATAGACGTTGTTAATGGTGACCGTTAACTTAAGGGCATTTGAGTCCTTTTACAATTTTTTCTTATATTTCATTAAAAACTTGAAAAGTAAATTATATTATATTGAATTATTTTATTTTATATTTATATTATATAGATTTAGTTATTTTGTTGGAGTCTTTATGCATAAAACATCTTAACTCTTGTCAAAGACCTTCCAGCCTAGTGGTAAAGGCTTGGGCATGGCATAGTCATGAACCCGAGTTCGAACCATGGGAGGGGAATATTGGCGACATTTAAGTGGGGCTTTGGCCTGGACATTAGTCGGGCTTTGGCCCGGACACCCTTACAAAAAAAAAATCCTAACTCTTAGACTAATATTTCTGGCTAAAATTCAACGGGACATATTAGTGAATTCATGTTTTGCAAGTTAACATATTACTTTTCACCAAAAAGAAGCATATAAAAGTGTGGTTATTATTTTTCATAATAAGGTCATAAACATTGCACCACGTGGGGGAGACCTACAAAAAAACCGGAATCAGTGAAGAAACACTACCCAGTAATTCACTTATCCGTCAGACTAATTTCAACATAATCACCATATGCATGGTGTGTCGTAGAGGCACTATGCCTATTAGTCGAGTATCTGGCACTCATCCGTGCACGATACCCCATAAAACACCCAATGGGAGCAACCCGTATAATTCTAAAGGGAGCAAGCCCAATTCAAAAGCAACAAAATGAGTGATCCTAAGCCGCCAGATCCGGATCTAAATACACCATGTCGATGAGCAAACAAATAGCCCATAATACCTCATTTATACGAAGTATATTTCACCAAAATTTAAATCAATAGCATGCTTCGTAAGCAACAAGTTTCAAAATATCATACCATATTCCACATAGTTTCTCATAATAATTTAGCTGATAGTTTTCTCCTAAAAATTTACTTTGTAAGAAAAAAAAAAGAAGTAAATAACCACGTTTCATAACGCTCATTTAAATCATTCATTTTCCAACCACATATTCAAACATAAGCAAAATGAATAAATTATGTAAAACGCATACATTTGACGTATGTCCAGTTTTAAGACTACTTGAACTCAGCTTAGCCTTTTTAGCTAATATCCTCTCGATGTTCGGCTTGGTTACCCGCCTTGATACCTAAACACCCACATAAAGTTCTTATATCAATACAAGCACCTTAATCAACTAATTTAGACAACCTCCTTATCTTAATATGCCATTAAGAACCACTGCCTTATATTTAGAACATATCAACAGTTCAGAACGATTTTACACTAACGGAGAAAATTAATAGTTGTTAAATGGAAGGACTAAAACGGTTAGAAATTGACAAACATAAGTGCCCAAATCCAAATTTTTGAAGTTTAGAGACGATATGCGTTAAAAATGGCAAACATTAAGGACCAAAAGTAAACTTTACTCTAAAATGTTTTATGAATTAATCATAGCTTTCTCTAATTGATTAGAGAAATAATCCAAAATGTGTTTTATCATAACATTAATAAAGTTTGGATTATGTTGATCGTCACCGAAATAAAAGATAAAAATTAAAAAACTGAAACATAAATAAAAAAAATAGTTTTTAATTATACAAATTGTTTACAATAAAGTGACGATAATCTCTCTCAGGAGTAGAGTGTAGTCGTTATCCATATGAGTGAGGTCCCGGATTCGAACCTCGGTTCTGCTCCTCTTGCCAATGGGATTTATGCACTGATTTACATCTCTTGTAATAATCGTGGCACCAGAGGGTGGCATCTACTCTTTAGATTTTTTGGAAGGTTGTCCTAAGACTATACTTGGACTAATCCCGGCAAATTGTGACCGCAAGAAATCAACCCTGATGAACTCATTGGCCACAATTGTTGTATACGCCTGGAATCAAACCATGAGCAGATGAGATATTCCACCGCGTCGGAATCTCAACCACTACACCACAACCCTTATCTTCACAAACTAACTTAAACCACTGACGGATGGTTATGATGGTAGGTTAACGAGACAATTGTGATCCTTCCAAACAACCACTGACTATGTTATATCCACAAAGAACAAAACTATAAACAGACCTCATCTTATCTACATATTATGGTTATACTCGACCACAGCGCAAGTAGTTTCTCCTTTTGTAGTCTCGCAATACTCGTTTTCTCTCCAAAACACTTGCAGATAGAACCCACTTGCTAAACTCGACTACTTCCATGCCCATAAACTTGGCAACCATCCGGTACTGCTTCATTTTGTGGGTTCTCAATGAACCGTTTCCCTTTTCACTAAGCACGGTTGGTTTTTGAGGGAAGCATGGTTGGATTAAGGTAGATGTGGTGACCTCTTGCTTGGCATCACATTCACGGCCATGGCTGATGATATCCTCGTTACGATGAGCATAAACAATACCTGAAAATTAAATCTGCATCAAAACCAAATATGAACTTTCATTGTTCATTATTTTTCTCATCTTTTACTAATCCTCACACCATATAAAATATGACCCGGAAAATAAACTAAACTAAACCAAACCAAACCAAAATATTCCACTCAAAGATGGGATCCTGGGGAGGGTGAGATGTAGGCAGACATGACTTCCACCCAAAGAGTAGAACGGCTATTTCTAGGAAGATCCTGATTAGTGCATAGTGTGGAAAGAAAGAGATACATATTAAAGTTTCGGAAAAAGAGCATAAGAAAAACATTTGAAAACAATAAAGGCGGTGCTAAAACTGGAAAAACGAAGCAACCAAAAATCAAATAGACAAACAAACAAAAACATATGAAAGGAAACAGGTGCACAAAAACGTAAACAAGGTAGGAAATGTTTTGCAAGCCGAGAGTCTTCAGTCCTCACAAAAACAAGCTCTTAACCCCTTGCGCACGCGTCGGCTTATCCCATGAGGCAAGGGGACCGAGCCAGAATTTGAGTTCAGAGTGGTGCTCTTAAATATTATTAAGTAAATACATAAATAAGATTAATAGAAAATAAATTTTATTATGACTTCGTTTATAACTATAATCATTAATCTTTTCTGACTACTCCATAATTGTTTTTCTCTTTGTTACATATATTTCAGGAAAAAGTCCAGAGAAATCCAATGAACTTTCCCATTTTAAATGATCAAGTCCCTGAATTTTTTTTGAATAAATAAAGCATTGAACTTTCCTATTTTAAATGATTAAGTCCCTGAACATTTTTGTTTCAATAAAAAAGCCCATCGAACTTTTAGAAATTGGTTACCTACATCCTTTTAACCCAAAGAATCTATCGATAACCGGCTAGAAAGGGTTCAAAGTATTAACAAAAAACTGAATCAGTTTTACCGTTCCCAAACCCTATGCCATTCAAACCCCTTGGAACCAACGCCATCACTCCCAATCGTCGTCCACTCCCATCACCGCCCACCGCCGCCGGGCCCCTATCATCGATATCCCTCTTTTTGACATGTCTTTTGTTGTTTTTCGATCCTCCCTCTTTTTTGATCTTTCTATACGTACTCTACTTAAATGTTGAAAAAGTGGGAGAATCGAAAAACAAAAAAAAAACAGATCAAAAAGAGGGAGATTGATGGCAGAGGAGGGCAATGGTGGCGATGAACGTTGATGGAGAGCGAACGATGATGGGACGGCGAGGGGTAGGGGTGGGAGCGATGTTGTTGGGTTCGAGGGGTTTGCATGGCTTAGGGTTTTGGAACGGTAAAACTGATTTAGGGTTTTTTACTTTATAACTGATTCACGGTTTTTTTACTTTAAAACTGATTCAGTGTTAAAAAGATGTAGTTTCGAAAAAAAAAATCTAATGGTTTATTTATAAAAAAAATAAGAACTTGATCATTGAAAATGGGAAATTCATTGAGCTTTTCTGAAATTTTCCCTATTTTTAGAGAATGGATCGTTTTATCAAAGAATCAGAAATAAAAGTTAACCAATTAGTCAACTAAAAGTATAGAATCCCACTCAAATCCAAAATATGAACATTTAAGATTTAAGAACAAAAACAAGAATGACAAAAACTAGAACAATATGAAAAAGGACAACTAAAACTATATCATAAAAACGTGCTTATTGTATCTTAAGAATCAATCGTCAACTAAATTCTATCTTCTGTTTCAAAATGAGAAGATGAAGTAGTTGTAAATCATGTATATTGAAATGGAGGATTAGCAACTAAAACGAAATAAATAAAACAGAACTGATGCAATCAAGCAAATCGATAAACATCAAACACGATAGTGAAACTTGGGTCTTGTTTTCCTATAGATCACGAAAAAAAACTCTTCTTTTAATCACAAACTTTTAGAAACGGAAATACTATAACATTTAAAAAATGTTACATGAAAAAAAAATGATGTAGTTCTTGTGGGAGACCGTTAACACAAATAAATATGTTTTTTAAACTATTGGCAAAGTTACAATCAGAAACTACCGCTATACCCATTGTTGATCCTCTCATATTATTGATAGCCTCGGTTTCGATTGTTAAAATTCTTTAACTTTACCATTATTGTTAAGATATTTACTAATAATCAGACATTTCCACTGAACCATGTGTCTAGTAAAACCATTCATGCATTACGGGACAGGGAGTAATAATCTATATGCAGAGAGAAGCGGAAAGCGAAACACAGAAATCTTACCCAACTCGCCGTTGACTGGGACAATTCTTTTACTGCTCTTGTCATCAAAAGGCTTGCTGCTTTCAGAATCCAAAGAAAATGTTTCTCTTGCTTGTTGAGGTAGAAAACACATCCCAAAATCGGGCAAACTTTGCTTTTCACCAGAAATACGTTCTTGTTCTGTTCCTTGTTTATCATGTGGCTCAATGATCTCACTCGTGAAAAGTTTGTCAGATAAATCACGAAATAAATTGCTGATCCCAAAAAGCTCCCCTTGGAACTCCTTGCAATCCTGAAGGTTTTCAAAATTAGAAACCAACATATATATATTATATATATATGTATATGTATGTATCTATACATGCACGAGTGTGTGTCTATACCTGGACACCTTCGAAATAACGTTTTTCCAGTTTCCCAGAAACAGCAATATTCGCAAGCTGCTGTTTGTATACCTGACGCGTGTAAACAAGTTCTTCAAGAGAACCAGCTGCTAGAAGCCTGAAAACCACAACATGACGCTTCTGTCCAAATCGAAATGACCGATCCTGCGCCTGCAAATCATGAGCGGGATTCCAATTCGGGTCAAATATAACCACACGATTGGCACTGACAAGATTCAAGCCAAGCCCACCAGCACGGGTTGATATAAGGAAAACCTGAAATGAGATTTTTTATGTCGGATCTCCATTTGCTAATACAGGGAAAAGTGTATGATTGCACTCCTAATACTCACCTGTTTGCTTGGACTTGAATTGAAGTCATCAACAAGAGATTGGCGCAGGCTTGTAGGGGTAGACCCATCAAGCCTTGAAAAGCTGTATCCTTTCCTTATATGAAACTTTTCCAGTATATCAAGCATCCTATAAGAGCAGCAGTCAGTTATTAGCAGAATGAAAGCGGCGCTTATCTTTACACAGCATGTTAATATTCGAAGGAAATGAAATATCATTAATAGCTACTATTAGCAAATTGAATAAAACCGTTTCTATTACTTGGTAAAAGTTGGGATAACTATATAGCTATATGTTGATAGAATAGATGTGCAAGTTTGTAGGGGGGGTCTTCTAAATATGGCCTCATCTTTGCATAACCTAGAGAATATTGAAAAACTTGTTATATGCCTTATGATCGCTGACTTTCTACAGAAGAATGTAATATGGTGCATATAGATCTTGGTTGTGATAGGTCATTTACACTTGCTATCTTTCTCCATGGACTGCTCAATAATTTATTTTCCTGTTTTTTTCAGGCAGCGTTCGTTATGTGCGCTAAACACCTTATTCTCAACCAGTATGCATCAAGGTGAGAGCTTTTCACTGACTTAATTGAATGGTCCATACCTTTAATACTTTTCTCTCTTATTTTAGCACCAAAGTTGTTAAAGGCTCAAGGCGCACTTAGGCGCAAAGGGGTCCCGGGGCCTATGCGTGAGGTGCAGGCCTCAAGAATGTGAGGTGCGTCTTCTAAAAAAAGTATGCACAACCACAAGGGTGGTGTCTGGTTGGTTTGAGCTTTGGGCTCCAAAGGTCAAAAGTGCCTGGAGGTCCCAAGTTCAAATCCAAGGAGGAACAAAAATCCCCTTGTGGCCACGGAGGTTCAAATGCGGTGACTCCGCGCTACCCGCAAAGCAGGTGGTCGTCCTTGGATTAGTCGGCTCGCATAGCGGGTTGGATATCCAGGTTAATCAAAAAAAATATATACACACACTATGTAGCAAGTATTCCAATGCAGCAACGAGCAGTACTTCGATAGAGGCAGAAGGGAGAAGGGTTTAAAGCATGAGCCATGAGGGAAAAGTTTTAAGGTCTGGGTATTTTTAGAGGAAGAGGCTTGAAGTTATAAGAATTGGGTATATAATATTAAGGTTTGACTTATTTCATCTATTTAATAACTCTTTTAAGAAGATGAGAAAACTTATTCAATATTGGGGTTTGACTTGGTATTTGATAACTCTTTATGAGGCGCACCTAGGCCCACAAGGTGCCTCAGCCATGGAGCAGGGCTTTAGTGAGCCTCGTGAATACGCCTAGCCTCGACCTTAAAAACGCCCAAGACCTTGAGCCTTACGAGCCTCAGAGCCTGCGCAAGCCTCGGTCGAGCTTTTAAAAACTATGTTTAGCTCCATTGTCTTTTTAATGTATCAAATGCTAACAACAGAGTATACTCGCTTAAAGGGGAGAAAAATTCATACAATGTCATATTTTTCATCCTAAATGCAGAGAAAGAAACATGAATTGTTAAGACCACATGGAATGAAGAATAACTCGGTTTAAATTTCTTAAAACATAACCAAGTATCTAAAAAACTGCACACATTAAAAATAAACAAGATTGAAAAAGTGTATTTGTGTGTTGGGAATGTAATTAACGTTAATCACATTACCTGACAGAGAAACTAAAGAGAAGAATCTTATCCCCCTCTAAAATCCAAGATGACATCAAATTTTCTAAAGCCCTCATCTTCCCACAATGTTGAACATCACTTAGACCCATAAAACTCTCATTTTGGGTATACCCTCCCACCAGATCGATATCAGTACCAAAGACAGCTGAGGCAAAATCCTTATCTTTCCTCTGTTTATCTGAGTCATCCCTGGGATTAGGTTTGATGAGCTCCAAATGATTGCTTATCTGTGCAACACAAAAGGGTGAAATTGTCATTTACTTTGATGAAAAATTATAAGATTACCCAAATCAGTAGATGAGCAGAAAAATTAATTGGCAATTCCTTGTTATTTCTCTAGGGTTTTGACAAAAGTCATTTTCATGAATAAAAGATATTGGTCCTCTCAAATCAACAACCATTATCTATACTTGGTTTAATTATGCAAATTCAAAGGATCTATTACATAGTTAAAAAGTAGTGATAACCTGTTGGAGCTTGGTGAGACAAGGGAGAACAAGACAAAAGGGGCAGGAGTCACAACCATCTGGATTATCTTTGTGAAGGTAGGGCCAGATAACACCATTCGGAACAGTTCTTTTACAACATTCCACTTGCTTTAGAGGGCTCCCACAGCTACAAGGTAGGTCCTTATCAATAAGACATTGGATGTCAGGTAGTTGTAGCATCCTCCTATAAACTCGCTTTTGCACCTCACTCATAGCACAAAATATAACATTATCTTCCTTACCCTTCATAAGATGTCCAATTGTCTCCTCTTTGGTTCGTCTTAATAGAAATTTATTCAGAACCGACACCAAGTGCTTTTTACGCTCTTGAGCAACCTGGACAAATCTTTCAGGTGCACTTGATCTCTGGCCATGCTTTAATGGCTCGTCATAATAATCCCGAAAATGTTCACGTGTCCCCAAGCCTCCAGGTACAACCCAGTCAAAAAGGTTAAACAATTCCATAATTTTGTTTTGCATTACGGTTCCTGTCAGACCATAGCGTTTTCGTGTTTTAATGGCCAGACAAGCCTCATAAAGTTTTGACTTTTCATTCTTAAGCCGGTGTGCCTCGTCGACGATCACAATCTCCCAACTCACGGATGACAGAATGTTCCCATGAATTCTATAGGTATCAAAACTGGTTATAAGTATCTCAACTCCATGAGCTTCGATTTTCTCAAAAGTCATATCACGGTTAGTGCCATGGTATATAGCAACGCTGAATGTTGCCCACTTATAGAATTCAGCCTCCCAGTTTTGTATAACAGAAGAAGGGCAGATAATTAGCACAGGACCCTTCTTATCTCCTTCATTCCCCTTCAGAATTGTGGTTTCGCCATATTCTCCATCTTTTCCGTATACGGCAGAAAGAAATGCAATTGCTTGGATAGTCTTCCCTAATCCCCTGATCAATTGGAAAAAGAAAACATAAAGGACAGTAGAGAAATAGAAATTCATAGTTACACTTTCATTGTACCTGAATAAGAATTTTATACAATCTAGGTTCCACTACAAGCTTTATTTTATCTCATAATCTACACCTAAGTTTCATAATACCAAATTAACCCATTTAAACCATTACTTTCAAGGTTGGGTTGAAATGGGATAAAGAAAATAAATAATGGGTCAATATTGATTGATTATTTTAAGAAATTGTAATGAAGTAACATCAATTTAAACCACTTAGGTGTTGTTTGGTTTGCAGAATTTAAAGGAATTCAAAGGAATTGGAATGATCAATTCATTTGACCGAATTCCAATTCCTTTGTTTAGTTCACATATTGAAATGGATGGAATCCTTTGCATTCCTTTGAAGTCCACAAGTTAAAAGAATTGATCATTCTTTGGCATAAGTGAAGGAATTGAATTCCATCACCACCCATCCCTTGCCTCCACCACGACCATGCTACTATCGTCATTGTCATGCTCCTACCCTAACCCCCCACCCACACCACACCACTTTGTTGCCAACCACCACTCACCCCCACCCCACCCTACCTAAATCCTACTGCCACCGCCCACCCCAAATACCAATGGCCGGTAAACCTTCGTGTTTAAGGACCTGCTAGGAGACACTACAGAGGTTTACATGGGAGACACTATGGAGGTTTACTTCGATGAAATGTTGGACAAGTCCTAGAAGGCTGGGGATCATATCGGTCACTTGTAGCAAACATTCGACGTACTCCGCCAGTAGGATATGAAGCTAAACCCCTCGAAGTGAACCTTTGGGATGACTGCAGGTAAGTTCCTTGGGTATCATACCCAGCAGGGCATCGAAGTGTGCCCCGCACCTGTCGCCAAGGAACATTAAGGAAGTGCAATTAACCGAGCGCTTAGCCAGCCAAACAGGTTCATATCAAAATCGTCTGATAAGTGTCACTTGTTCTTATAACATTCTGCGGAGGAATCAAGGATTCATATGGATAGCGGATGACGAGGGAGCGCTGCAATCACTCAAGGAGTACATGTCGTCACCGCCTCTACTCTCAAAAGTTGAGGATAGGGAGACGTTGCATTTATACGTCTCTGTAAGGCATGTTATCTTTTTATTCTTTATACTTGTCCTGAGAGAAGGGGGAGGAGGACCATGCAGAAAATGGTTATTGTTTTAGAGATCTCTAGCTTCTCGAATTGCTAGTTATCTTCTCTATTATTTTCCCTCATAATGAAAGCATTCAGCAATCCTTGACAACAATCACTCTGTTTTGTTTATTGATCTGTAATATATGCATGTGTTTGTATCAAAAATCATATTTGTCATAAAGTACAATTAAAAAAAATGATAACAAAGGATTTTGGGGCCCAAACAGTCCAACCCACCTAAGTCCATCCAATTCATTACCTGTTTTTGGCCCATTCTACAAATCGACACCCATTTTACCTCTTACGCATTCTGACCCATCATCTAAATAAACCAAACCCATCATTTGCCACCTATACATATGTCTAACAGAATGATAGATGTGAACACAATCAAATATTGTACGGCATATTTAGTTATCTATAGAGTTCATCTAGACTATATGTATTTTCACCTTTGATAATAACCTTTACAAAAATGCCTCCTTAGAGTAGAAATAAAACAAGAACACTACTTCTACCCAGGGTTAGATGTTATTCTCCTTTCATCGTGTCAAAGTTTGATATTAGGGTCTTCCAAATGCTTTTCAAAAGTTCAATAATACTAAAATTTGAAATGTGAAACATAGCCTCCTCCATATAAGGTTCATGCTTATTCTGTCGCCCCCACCCCCTTCTCCTGCGCACAAGGAAGCTCCTATCACCACCCCTTGAACTCTTGAACTTGCTTTTTAACTAGAGGATCACCTAAATACAATGATGGCTCATGGCCCAGGCTATTAACCTAATTCCATCATTTAACACTTTTCAAGTTAAACGACAAATCTAAATCATTCTCAGGTAACAAAAACATAAATAGAAGAATTAAAAGGTTATGATTTATCTAGAGAGTTTAAAATTTTAGATGGCTCCTCCCTCACAAGATATGGCTTGGCACTTCCTCGTTATACTCCTATTCTCTTCCTACAAGTAAATCGTATGGAGAAAGAGGTTTAGGACCCCCCACTCCACAAAGAACGAAAAGAAAAAAAGAGCTTGTCAAGAATGCCTACATCAAAACGCATGAAATTCGACGAGATCATATCATCTATGTTCATAAATCTGCCTAATGGGCCTTGAACTCTTCAGAATTTGCAAAAAAAAAAAAATTCCTGTATTCTTCACAAGTACAAATTAGGTCCCTGGATTTTCATGATAGTCCCACCACCATCAGGAAATGGGTATAAAACATTTAAACCATGGAGTATCAATTGTCAATGGATTGGTCTCAAGGTTACCGAAAGTGATAGGCCCATCTTAACTTTTCGAAAAAGACAAATCTATTTAATCAGGGTGGTAGAGGTCTGATGGATGTAAATTTGCAAAACAGAACAAAAAGGGATCTCCTGTTCAACTTCCAAAAGATGTGGATGCCTCTCACTGAAATAGTCCTCAAGAATGCCTATAAAGAAAAGAATTCTCAACATCAAAAAAGAGAAGAATTCTAGAAATCAAACTTGAGAAGCAACCACAAGCCTGACTGGCATCTGTATAGGACATGTCACTGATCTGGTGACTGATTTCTATTTCTTGCCCCAACAAATGGAGAGACAAGAAGGACAACCAGGTGAAGAGCCTAGCAGAACAAAATTGGATAACAATCATCTATTACTTGGGTAAAGGACCAAGCTGGACACGAAGCTAGACATCTTACACATCGTAGGGTGATATTTTTATTTTTTACTTCGAAATTTTTCTAAACAAAGAAACACTGCAATTCTTGTAGGACATCACAAAAGCCAGGACAGGTTCCGGTTCAAGTTCCGGCTCAGGAAGATGAAGGTCCCAAAAGTCTAAATTTAGAAAGGAACATACTACGCTTTTTATGGAGCATATGGGAGTCAAAAACAGAGATACGATGAAGAAATTTCAAGAGGAGTTGCTAGCACACAATCATTTATATCTTAATTGTCATTGAACTTCGAACTTCTCTAAAATTGAGTCACTCAAATTCGTTAACTCTAACCAGTACAAAGCAAAACCATTAAAAATGAAGATGGGAAAAATATATAAAATTGCCAATAAATTTCGGTCTTCTTTAAAATTGCGTCGATCAATTCAAGAGTTATAAATGAACTCAAACAACCTTCTCAATCGACACAAATACATACATCAACAGTGTATTAATTAGGCATGTCCATTTCATCACTTGATTAGTTCATAATTTAATACAATTGTGTTGATCAAAAGGTTGTGTGAAAGATCGATAATAACTTTAGCTGGAAAAGGCGTTTTTAAGAGCCACTCACATGTCATCTCCAAGAATTCCTCCATGGTTCTTCTTGTATAAGTTGTACAAAAACTTCACTCCTTCTCTTTGATGTTCTAAAAGCCTACAATTTATGGAAGCAGGTACCTGCAATGAGAACCTCGTCAGATGATAAATTCCTAACTTTCATCTATAGGCAATTAAATGCCGTCTACTTTGAGAGATGAAGATGGTAATTTATGACCAATCTAAGCAAATGAAACAATATGTTGGATTTCCTCAAAATCTGATAAAGTTTCATATAGAAAGCTCTGATATTGGAGAAGAATCCTATACTAATGTATTATCTCAAATCTCTGTTCTTTTTTAAATATCTAAATGAAAATGACATTCTAAGTGATCTCACATCTAGCACCTAATAACACAAGTTAGTCCCTACATGATGACCACACAAAAGGAAAAAATAATCAATAGTCTCCAAAGCATGGAAAGAAAATCGTATTAAGTTCAATGGCAATGACTAAATTTTGCACATATTATTAAACCTCCATTCTTTCCACTGTAACAGATACGAGCAGAAGTTTCCATCGAACTGGACACCCAGGTAGAAATGGAGTGAACTAACCCTGCTCACATTTGATGTTTATCCTAGCATCCTGCAATTTATAGAAGTTTGTACATCCTAATCACAAAGTGATAAAATTAATCAAATGTCTTCCCACTATAGTTGCTTAAACAGCAAGTGATAAGAGACTCCACTATGGTTACTTGATACAATTGTAAATACATATACTCTAAATTTTTGTCCGTCCTTTAAAACCAGAAGACTGCAATTCATCAATCAAATGATGCCGGAAATGAAATATAGGGCAAATCCAGAAATGAAATCTCATGGACAGCAATAACTGTTTCATTACTTCCTTCCCCCTATAGCTTGACATGGACACAACATTCAAAAATATCAATACAACATTAAATATAGCAAAAGAAGAAACGACAAGAAAAGTGCTTGGCGGATTCTTTGATTTAGAAAGGGTTTTTTCATTAATTCACCTGCACAACAGGGTTGTGGCCGGATCCCGAAAGCACCAATGGTTCATAAGGTCCAGTAGGATGAAAAAATTGAGGGGCATCCAACTTAGGTTTTGCAATTCGAAACCCATTGCCTTTTCCTTCTTCTTTAAATTCTTCCTCCTCATCTTCAAATTCTCTTTCCACAACAACATCCGTCCGATGAGGTTGTTGCTTCCGTTGACTAACTTCTTTCGATTGTTTCGTAGAAAGCAAGGTGGGGAAGGAATTAGAATCATCTTCGAGGCGTAAGAGTTGCTGAGAAAGAGAAGATTTGGGGGGTTTTCTAGCGTTTAGGGTTGTCGAAGTTTGTGAGTATGCAGAAACAGAAGCAGAAGCAGAAGAAGATTGTGATTGGGATTGGTGACAGGGTTTGAGAATCTCCTTGAAGCTGTTTAACGACATTACTGAGAAAGCATTGAATTGAGAGGAGACACTCGGTCTTATAAATTTTGAGGAGGGAACTGTTTCTTTAAAAACGAGTAACAGCATGTTTTCTTTTTTTAACACGAAAATCATCAAAATAGCAACTTCTATACATATAATAAACAAATAACTTAGGTGACTCTATTTTCTGGTAAGTCGGTTTTCTTGTTTTTTCGTTTAAACACATATCTAGATATAATTTTATATTTATGGTTTAATTAGACTCATTTCAACGTATCTAGACACAATTTACATTAACAGTTCAATTATACTCATTTAATTGATATGTGTCATCTTATTCAATCAATTCTACAAATTTAGGATGCAACTGATTTCATTTTTGAGTTAATTAATTCGTTCTTATGGTAACTGATTCTCGAAAAAAAAAATGATGTTTACTTCTAACTTCTAAGTTTACATGCATTCTTTTTTTTAGACTTATAAGTCTGAACTCTGAAGTTTTCTACAATTCTGAAGAGTCATTCTCCAGAATTAGCTCACCCGAATTCTGAAGTCTTCTTTTTCAGACTTAGATTATCCGAACTCTGAAGTCTGAACTCTGATTTATTGGGATTGATTTTATACTTCAGAGTTATTTCAAAAGTACAAGTCTGAAGAGTCATTTTTCATAATTTTATTTCAGAGTTATTTCAAAAATACAAATCTGAAGAGTCATTTTTCAGAGTTAGCTCACCCAAACTCTGTAGTCTTCTAATCTAGACGAAGCACCATGCAGAGCCTCTGCATAGTGCATGCAGAGCTTCTATTTTGCTTATACAGAGCTCTGAAGAGCTTTACTTTAGAGGAATTTCAAGAGTATAAGTTTTGTAATAAACTTATCTAGACTTTGAAGATAAGTCTTTAAAACTTAGGCCTTGTTTGTTTTTACCTAAAAAGCACTTAATACCCTCTTATGTCTAAATCGGTTAGACCTTAGGGTATTAAGTGTGTTTGATTTTTTTTTTCAATTAAGAGCTTAAAAGCTCTTATTATGTCTGAATTATTTAGAGGTAATATTTTCACTTAAAACCTCTTTATTGCTTTTAAAGCTTCCAATGCTTGCAAAGAAAGCCTAGATTTCAATGATTCAGATTTCAGATTTCAGACGTAAAAACAAATAGTCTGATTGATTCAGATTTTAGACTTCAGCACCACCTCTTAAAATTCAAAAGTGAATTCAGACTTCAGACTTAAACATCTCTTAAAAAACAAACGCCATAAAAACAAACGCCATCTTAGACTTAGTCTTGTAAGCCAGAGTCCTTCTAGTTGGTCTGGCTTCTGGATGGTTTTGCTTCTGGGTGTTTATTTGAACATTGAAAAAATATTTCAATCCATCATAAAGGAACTAGAGGGGTTCTGGTTGATCTTCATATTTAACCAGAGAGTCTCTGGTTGCAATGCATCATCTTTCTTCACTTCCACAGCCTCCATTATCGATTTCAGCCTACATTATTGAAATGTTAAACTTTTGACATGACGTAACAAATGTTATTTACGATTGTTGTGTTTAAACTTTTTAAATTATATCGGTATTAAAAATGTGGTATGACAAATGTTATTTACTAAAAAAAATATTGATATCACATATTAAATAATTTTAAATATATTTTTGGTTGATTTATTGGCATTTACAATTCACAATTAGTCGAGTCCCATCCGGTTCTTTCCACTTCGGTTCGCGTACCAAACAAACCATTAGAGATTTTACCGCTCTCTCCTTACCTTACAGTACCATATAACATAGCTGTTGGTTGCTAGTCTCAGGCTTCTCTGCCCTCTTCGTGATTTGCTGCTGCTTTTCTTCATCGCTCCTTGCTGCTGCTGATTGTTCACGAAATCAGGGTAAACCCTCTGATTCAATATCTTCTCCAAATCGATGCTGTCTTCTGGTGGTTGTAGTCATCTTCAACTGGGCTTTGCTCTTCCCTGTGGGTTGTTGAATGATGTTTGAATGTCATCTGTTAGTTTTCCTAGTAGTTGTTGCTTTTCCTTTGTGTTACCATATCTATTTATTGGGGTTTTAATTATGTAGAGGTGATTGTTTTTAGATTTGTAGACAATGTTTTTCCAAACTAAACATAAGAGTGAGAAATACGAAAATGTTGTAATGATTTCAGTGAAAAGTTTAGTGGTTATATGAAAATTGTGGTCAATTTAGCTATGCAAACCAAGTGTTCGATGAATTGCTTATACACTCTTTGTTTGATTAGAAGATGTGTTTATGAGTAAAGAATCTTGCTTTGTAAGCATATCCTACAATCTTATTAAAAATTTAAAACATTACAAGCCAACAAGCCAAGCCAACTTGATTAAAATCATAACGAACATTAATGGCATGATGGTCCAAGTTGATACTCACCCTTCTCTTTGAAGGTCAGGTAACAGGAGAACATAAAGACGATATGTCAGCTTTTAAATTCTTAAATACTTACATCCCACACACATTTCGTACTTAGATATATACACGCTCATTTTATACTTCTACATAAATTAATTTTTAGTTTTCTGCCATTTACATGCATTTGCTATGCATTCTTGCCCAATGTTTGTTTTATTTGAAAGTGTTGGAACTTTATGGACAAATGGAGTGGTAAATAATTGATGGTCACTGAAGTTCAACGGGATTTGTTTGTCAATAGCTTTTTGCTCTATGATGCATCACCAACGATTGCGGTTTTCCTATGTTACCATCAAATTCAATGTTCATATTTACTTGAATGAAATATAATTTTAGCTCAATGCAATTGTATTTACCATGCCTACAGAGAAGTTAACTTTTGTTAGATAATATTCTGAGTTCAATAGAATTGGTTCAGTTGATTGGAATTTGTTTGGTTTATTTAAGTCCTTGTATCCCTATGTTTAGAGGTTAGTTATAAAGACAACATAGCCAGAGAGCGGAAAAAAATGCAGAAAGAGGCAAAATCCAGAAACTTATGGATGAGAACGTAAAATTGAGTGCCCTTTTTGATAAAAAAGGCCCCAACTTTTGGCTATGAATAAGGCCATGAATGAACGATGCAAGGTAATGACAGTGAGTACTTCCAACGTCTAATATTGTACGCTTACTTTGTCAAATTCGGCTGAATTTTTCTGGTAAAATGTTCACAGGCCTGTTTCCAGAGTTGATAACATTTATTGCAAATTTTGTGTTAGGAATTTTTAATGTGTAATATGGCGTGAAGACGACACTACATTCTTTATCATAATTGAATATTTGAATCCAAGTGACCTCTCTTACTTTTTCTCTTTTTCAGATTTGAGTGTGTTGACTGTTTTGATAGTTGCATGATTTTGGTACACTGCTTAGAATAACTTGAATTCCTACTTATAAGCTTTCATTTGTTTGATGCATTTTTCTATTTTATTTTCTCTGTTTTGTGGGATTGTATTTTATCTGTCACTTTGCGGACCTCATTTTATAAATGCATTTTTTATCTCTATTCTGTTTTGTGGGATTGGATTTTTTTCATCCATGCATTTATGAAATGAGGTCCACAAAGTGCAAATGAGAGTTACTAGATGAAAGAGTAACACTTTGCTACTCGAATAAGAGATATCTTTCGAGTTTCTTTTTCAAATCTATTACATCATACATGAAGTTCAGTGTGAAATAGAGAAACTTGTTAATCAAAATCACTGTTATCACTATTTTGTAGTGATTTTCGATGTGCGAAAATGTGAACTTTAATTCAAACCTTATCCAAGAAATAACTGTTGTATTTGTTTGTTACATGATCTAGAAATAATCGTCATATATATTTTAAGACAAGAATCATGAGTTCTTTTTGATGTATCTCATACCAGTTTCATAAATGTAGTTTTTGTTATGATGTCTGGTGTATTCATCATTTGCATGCTACTTGGTAATATTATTTGCTATCCTTTTTCCTAAGGTTGAAACTTCTGTTTTTTTATCATAAATTATTTTTAAATTTTATGCCACTTGAAATTTGTAAGTTGTAACTTCAAATAAAACCAAACCAAACCAAACCAAATTGACTCAGTAAATCCCACTCGAAAGTAGGGTCTGGGAAGTTGTAACTTCAAATCTATTAAATAATGAATTATAATCACGATTAATAATATTGAGTCCCTAAAGTCTCTTTATCATTCTCCGGTCTTATTTTGGGGTTAGTCCCGTGGGCAGAAAAAAAGTCAGCTGTCAAGGTTTTGAGTCTAATATTTCTGCCCTTACTCCCATGCTTGACCAGGTATCACCGTGTATTTGTTAAATCTTTTTGATGATTCTGTTGAACGCTTTGGGATGGAGATTTTGGTAGAAAAACACAAAAATTGGTTCCTGATTGCTTGCGGCTGTTTGGTAGAATTGTAGTGGCAGGTTGCTAGGCAGCGGGTTACTCCTAACTTGGGATTCCCTGCTGCCCAGTCCTCATCCTTCTCGGTTGCTTTAGAGTGGTTGTTTGTGCGGTATAGAAGGGAACTAAAACCACGAAACATGTCAATCTTGACATGTCAATTTTCATCTCTAAGAAAATGGTCACCTAAATTGGTTGAATGAGTTTGAATCCTACCATGCTAGTGAGGAAGGAAACCGATAGACATTTGAAATCTATTGCAAACATGTCGTTGAATAAGACACTGACTCCTTTTTTATTGCTTTTAATTTGGGATTACTTTGTTTGATTTCTTGTTTTTATGCCATTTGTTACCAGCTATATTCCATTATATGTTTGAAATTGCTTTATTCATAAACACATAAGACTGCAAATGGAGTATTATCTCTTCAGAGGTTATCGAGTTCTTTGAAACACTCTTTATTTTCTTAAATCATTATCACAACTAGTAACCAATGTAGCGGAACCAAGGGGGGTCTATACCATCTTGGCTTTCCTGTGTTGGCTAATAGTTGTGATAATGATTTATGAATTTAAAGGGTATTTCGAGGAACCCAATGACCTTCGAAGAGATAACCTTTAATTTGCAATCATTTAGCAAAGCAATTCCCTGTATCTAATGAAATACAACTGGTAACAAATGGCATAAAAACACGAAGCAAAACAAACTAATTCATAAACAAAAACAATAAAAACTGAGTCATAATAAGACTTATTCAAAGGGCATGTTTGCACAAAATCTCTGTTAAATATGCTCCACGGACCACTATCTACAACTAAATATGCTAAATGAAGTGAATTGTCAACTTGCTTAATAGTTAAGATTTCAAGTCGTAATTGCATGCTTGTTCTTTATGAACAGGCAAACGATTTGCTCCTGCAGTTCCGTGGCATCTAGAATGATAAAAAGTTTGGTTCTTCCTGGCAAAGTAAGCAGCCAATGCAGTTTATTATTGCTTTCAATATTTTGCCTATTGCATTTGCTTTTTGGTTTCATACAGATCATATCATATTCTTCTTAGTCTGGGCTTACTGACCTTTTTTATATCTTGTAAAAGTAAATTCAATACGAATGACACTTTGTTCATTCAATCCATCACTAATTGGTATATTAAAGTGATGACTGATGAGTATCACACCAAGTTTAGTATTTGATGAGGATCAAGAGTTTTTCCACATCAATGGCTATGAGAAAATTGTGTAACTCTGTTGCTCTTAGTAACCAATTATTTCATGCACTGGTTAAAGTAACCTGGTTAAGTAGGAGTTTGATTACCACGTGAGGTAACATCTTGTTTAGCAAAGGAAAGAGGATAATAACAAATAGGAATAGTCACCCAATCTGGCCCATCCAAGAGAATGCATTCAGTTATAGAGATTGAAAATAGAGTTCAGAATTGTTAAATGGCATATGATACATGTTATGTCTGTGAGCCTGACATACATTAAATACATTAATTACATTATATAATTGTGAATAAAGAATAAAACATTTCAATTTAGTTGTTGAAGCCAACTTTAATGTCATTATGAGTATATGACAATTGGGTTATTAGGGTTCAAAGCTTTTAACCTGGAAATGAGAAAAGTGATAGAAATTAGTGAACCCCCTAGGTTTTGTGACATGAATGGCATCCTTTGATGTACTCATGCTAAGTCTCTGTTGGTGTATTCCATTAACTCAAAGCCTTCTTTACTACTTATGCATGTCAATCTTGGTATATTCTTAGCACAAGTCTCTTCCAGCCGACATATATCTAAGTTGGAGATGACAAAATCATCTATTGTGTCCTTGCCTCGGTTTCTCTGCAATTGGGCGCTCACTGCCACTATAACCATCTGCCATTTTTAAATACATGATTGCCTGATAGGGGAAGATCCCAAGAGGGTTTTCTTTTTTCTTGTAACAAATTGTTAAAGAAGAAAACTGGTATTGGCTATCTACAGTCCATTTTTTGGTCTGGACAGTTGATCCAAAATCATTTATTCTATAGGGTCATTCTTAATACATCTTTTAATACTTTGTTAGCATGAACAATGTAATTGGCCAAGAATGTGATCTTATAGAGAGGAAGGGGGTGAGGTTTCACATCTTGTGTGAATTTATGCTTGAATAATGTTCATAAGCGTTCTTTGAGCCATAGCTATATGCTAAATTTGGCCTGTGATAGTTAGGGATGTTTCTGTTTTTTTTTATTTGATTAACCTGGATATCCAACCCGCTATGCGAGCCGACTAATCCCAGGGCGACCACCTGCTTTGCAGATAGCCCAGAGTCACCGCATTTGAACCTCCGTGGCCACAAGGGGATTTTTATTCCTCCTTGGATCTGAACCTGGGACCTCCTGGTACTTTTGACCTTTGGAGCCAAGCTCAAACCAATCAGGCACCACCCTTGTGGTTGATGTTTCTGTTGTTTAAATTCATGATACTGGCTTTGTTTTAAATATCGTTGGAATGATTCAAAATTATGCCATTCAAGATTTCCTTTGTTGAATTTATAATGATGAGCGGAAACAATTCACATTTGTAGATGTGTACATGCATTCTTTATAAAAGCGTAGGAAAGTAACTTATCACTTAATAAGTTCTGTTACTCTTCTTTGGCTTAGCCTTCGAGATTATATGCTGCAAACATTGGAGGTTTTGAACAAGTTAAAAGCAACGGAGTGAGGATGGAACTTTCTATAGCTCAACCAGATGATTGGCATCTTCATCTTCGTGATGGTGATCTTCTTGAAGCTGTCATTTCTCACAGGTTACTCGAAGATCGATTTCTTTCAATTTCCACTCGATGGTCCTTTAATAGTAATCGAAATTACTTACCTGCATGTACTCTTTAATTGAATGAACCGTAAGTTGTTCTGCAATTAAATTCTGATAATTTTCTTTAATGACAATTATTCATATAGTTCAAAACAATTCGGAAGGGCAATAGTCATGCCAAATCTGAAACCACCAATTACAACTACTGCCGCTGCTGCGGCATATCGCAAGTCCATCCTGAAAGCACTGCAAGACAACACCAACTTCACACCATTGATGACACTATATCTAACAGATACAACAACTCCACATGAAATCAAACTAGCAAGTGAGTCTTATTCAACCTTTTTGACCTTGGATGGGCGTAACTTGTAACAGTTTTATGTTTTTTTTTTGGGTAAAACAGTTTTATGTTTTTCTCAAGCCTTTAATTTTATTTTTAATCCTTCCGATGCTTTATCAATTATTCCAATTGTTGATTACTCTTCTTTTTAGTTATTTTGTTTATGCATCCAGCTATTAGCTAGTGGAAATACTGTGTTACGTGATATGAACGAACTTGATGGTTGTTAAACTGATAGTTGTTAGTATCTTATGATTTGATAAGAATTAACTGCAAAACAATTTCAATGAGAATTTGTATCCTGTTCATACAAAAAATTAAGTTTATCCTCGTACGTGGTATGAGATTTACGATTCTATGTAATCCAACCCACTCACTTTATATGAAAATTTGAGTGCATCTTACGGTTTACGATTCCATGCGATTTAAACCCTCAATTATTCAGGATAAAAGGTGTCAATGGTCCTCTTTATTTGTCAGATTATATTTTTGAAACACCTTATTAATAAGTTTATCATCACTAACTCTTGATAAGCATCTTGGTTTTAATAATGACAATGTCAATGGTAATTCTCTTCTTTATTGTAAAAGCCAATAAGACAATGTTAGAAGACGATTGTTGATTGTTTGTCCGAGCCAACAGTGCATGCCAACTGTCCTACCGTTGATTGCTTGGGCTTGTAGTCAGATTACAGCTTGTGGGATTAGAATATGGCAATCGGTTGTTTAGTATGAGTAGAGGTCTTGGTTTAGTGTTTATTAAGCACTTTCATTCTTGTTTACTTGTGATCTCATAGAGATACTCTGTGTAATGGTCAAGGGAGAGTTCTGTAATCTTAGGAGAGAACAAAACTGGAAGTAATAATAGTGGCTGCCATGGAGTAGAGCTATGATTGATATTGATCAATAGTTTTGGACCACATAAAAGGTTAGGGTGTTCTATTTGGATTTCTACTCTACGATTTTTCTTGTGGATGTTCTTGAATCTGTGAAGTTCGGTTACTGAAGAGGCAGATTTCTTAACAAATTGGTGCGGTGAATGTGGAACAGATTACTGAATTGAAGTTTCAATTTGGTATGATTGAAGTCGTAGATCTTGAGTCGACTGTCATTTGTTTGCATGAAACCAAAATTCGTTAGATCGTAGTCGATTGAACAGTGGACTAGTTTTGGTCAATTTAATCATTGAATTAGATCCAGTTGAAGCCAGACTGGGTCCAGTTTGAAGATCTAATTTGATTTGCTTGGTGGATTCTGACTGTCAACGAATAGCAAGGCTTGATTAGAACAGCGTATACACGTTGTCTGGTGGTTTCAACTGTCGACTCAAGCAAGGAATGGATTGAAGCTTTGATAAGATTCGTTGGTCAGATCTTTGATGTGGATTCAGTTTGTCGTAAGTTAAAGTTGACAAATTGAGATAGAATTTTGGTCTTGAGATTGATTTTGGCTTTCATTGCCTAATCCTGAGCGTGAATTTAGATCATGGCGTTAGTTAAATATGGAGTCGCGAAGTTTACCGGTCATAACGACTTCAGTTTGTGGCAAATTAAATGAGGGTGCTGCTGGTTCAACAGGGCTTAGGCAAGGCACTCGAAGGGGAAAACAGGTTAGATTACACCATGTTCTATAAAGATTAGAAAATCTTGCTAGAAGAAGGCGCATAGTGCGATAAATCTCATCCTTGATTCAAGATCTGTCTATGAGGCGTTATTCAACTAACTGGCTACTGTTTGAACAATGCACACACTATGTTTTACACATTTGGTCCCTATACTATTAATGCTATTTAAATATTGTTCAACATGAAGTCTAAATTGAGTTTGTGTATGAATGTTCTTAACTGCTTTACGCTGGATAAATTTAGAAATAGCCAACACCAATTGAGTCTTCCAGTGGTCTAATTCTAAACTGATTTACAGGAGAGAGTGGCATTGTATATGCTGTGAAGTTGTACCCTGCTGGTGCTACTACGAATTCTCAAGATGGTGTTACAGATCTATTTGGGAAATGCGTACCTGTGCTGGAGGAAATGGTTAATCAGAACATGCCTCTTCTGGTATTGTTATATTTCAAAATCTTCAATAAGTTCTACTGATGGTTATAATTTAGTATATGAGTAAGAAAAATATAAGTAGCCTGTAGTTGGCTTTACTTTCAGAAGGTCTTGTACTTGTTGTCAACCTAGCATGTAAGAGTGCAAGGATACAAGAGATGGATAAAAGCATTCAGCGAATACGTTTGGACCACTGGTTTATAAGTGAAGCCATTTCATTTATTAGACTCAGTAGCTAGCATTATTAGATCTAAGGATATCAAAGAGCATCAAAATGAGCACTTATGGGCTGTTTGTTAGATTTAGAATGATTAAGTGGTTAGAATTATGAAGAGGTGCTGTATGATTTTGTCGAGAACAGAAAATGATTGTTTGGTAAGTGTTCTTAATGGACAGCCGGAATGGCAGTAAATTACTATTTTAACCTTCTGAATCATTTAGTTTTGAAGGAAATATGTGTGTTTGGTAAGTGTTCTGAATTAATATATTGTTAACACATACACACACATGGATATATATATATATATATATAAATGAGTCAGGTTCATACGAGAACAATAACTACATAAGAGAATAAGGAAACATGTGAGTTTACACTAAAATCACATGTGGTTCACGCGACTTTTTGGCCACAACCTTAGGTTGCCATGTCACCCGCACACCCTTGCGTCGCCTGTTGGTGTAAAATCACATATGATTTTGCACTTGATTTGGCTGTGTTCGTATTCTTTTATTTTGTTACCGTTCTCATTCGAACTTCCCTCTAATATAAATTACGATATATCACATTCAAAATATAAATTTACAAACACAACATTATTTGTTTAAAACAACATATCATCGATCAAAAACATAATTGAAAGTGCCCCTAGATCTGAGAATGAGTGACCTAACTGTAATCTAGTAGATAGAGTGCGGAAGAACAATAGAATCACAACAAATATAATCAAGAACAGTGATATGGATCAATGGTGATGTACTCATCATGTTGTTCATTAATCAAAAGATTACAAGCTGAGAGAATTTAGATTCTAGAGGGAGAAGTTCTCTAAGCACATGAGAATTCTATTACAGTTGAGTTCTATTTATGAACAACTTGCTATTACAGAAGAGGAACTTTCTATTTATAGTACAAGGCATTTAAGTTGGTTAATATTTAATCCAATAGCAATTAGCCACGTGCTTCATTAACTCTTCCAAGTAGCATAAGTCTTCTCAACTTGATCAGAGGTGTAACTTGAGTAGAACTTCCTCTAGTTCTTCATGATATCAAAGTCAGAGTTGCTACCTCAGACTTATGTGTACTCCATCCAGACCTCTGACTCTTAAGGTCCAAATCTCCGACTTGTCTTGTTGAGAGCTCTGAATCTTCTTCATCACTTAGTATTTTCAGAGAACATCTTCTCTGATCCATCTCTTATGCAAGTCTGGTTGACTGGTTCTAACAATAATATGGTCTAACAACCACAATTATGTGCAAGCTATGATGCAGTAACCAAAATGCACTTTTGATTCTAGAAAGAAACATGTTCAACGAGCATAGAAATCACAACTTCATGATTAGACATATCAGGACTCCACGACTAATTTTTGATGATCAATCTTACCAGCAAACTCTAGCTTTGATTCAAACCAGCCTCATCAACCAAGTGCATCCATTCCTTGTCCTTCAGCCCAACCATGATAATGGCGGCAACATTAATCTTCTTTGCATCCACCTTTAGGGGAAAAACTGCAAGTTGTGGTGGAACTCAAAATATGCACATACATGTTTACAAAATCTAAGAGAGTGGGGTTGAGAAGGTTATGTATTTTTGAACATGAGAGTCTAAGTGGTCTATCTTTGATGACAAAAGCAAATATTCAAGCAAACAAAGACTAATCAAATAACAAATGCAAGTTTGCAAAGCAAACATAGCCACACACTTGATGCATATCAAAATCAAGTGAAGAACAAAAATAAGTATGCATATATATATATATATATATATTAATGTTTGAGATGAGAAAATACTAGTTGTCAACCATTTCACACTTATGTAATAGCAAAGCAAGCTAACAATAGGCACTATTCGTTGATCCTTTTTAGAATTTTAGAAATTAATCCCAAAGTCTTACATTGGAAACTTTTATCAAACACTTGGTGTTTATCAGAATACAAGAAAACATCTTAAAAAAATTGAACACAACATTAGTGGTGTTAACACTCAAATTTGGTAATGTTTGTCATCTTTCTTTCTAAACGAGATTACAAAATATATATAACATCAAGAAGCCTAAATGAGGAAATACTAACACTACTATGTTGAGTTTTGCTCAACAAGAATATCTCAGACAAGGAACCTTAAATTCACTCAATTACTCAACCTTCGAGAGGTTGAGAGACTCCACATAATTCAATTGTATTATTCAATAATATCTCCTTACAAACACACTAATTCCTTTGTACCAACTACGACTGCTAACCATTTTGTAACAACTTCCCCCCAATTCTAATACCAAAAAGAAAAAAAAAATACCCTCTAACTTTCATTTCTCCTTGAGTATGTAAAACGCAGTTCAGGTCTAACATTACCCGCCTGCTAAAGAATTCACCTTGTCCTCAAGGTGAAAATCCGGAAATTGGTGATTATTTGCCGTGAAACCTTCCCCTGTGGCTTCAAATAGGGGCAAACCCCGCCAGCTGAGTGAGATTTCAAACTCTTTCGTGGCCCTAGTCCTGCATTGCAGCAACTCAGCTGGTTTAACCTCCAACACCCCTTCTTGGTTTAGCTGTGGTGGTGTACGTGGCGTCGACGAGGCATTGGCCAATTGCCTTCCGTAATTAGGATACGGGAAAAACCGAGTGTATGCGGGTATCATTTGGCAGTTCATACTACAAGGAAAGGTAAACCAAACTTTACTATATTTAACACTCCTCCTCAAGTTGGAGCGAAAATGTTAATCATGTCGTACTTGTTACAAATAAAGTCTATTTGAGTTTTCCGCAATGTCTTCGTGAGAATGTGTGTTGGTGTTCAATCTTGATGTGTACAGGTTGGATCAGTGTTCCTGCAACATGGTCTCTAGTGAGATGACAATCAACTTCAATGTGTTTGGTCCTCTCATGGAATACTTGATTCTTGGCTATATGAATGGTTGTCAAGTTATCACAATTCAATCTCATCAAGTCGTCTGTAATTACTCCAAGCTCTTTTAGGAGTCTTCTTACCCAGTTATTTCGCATGATACATCTGCCATGGCTTTGTATTCTGACTCGACACTTGATCGGGAGACAATATGTTGTTTCTTGCTTTTCCAAGAACGACGAATACACAAGGTTGTAGTTGATCTTTAGGAAACGGGACAACCAACCCAATCTGCATCCGAGAAACCAAATATTCTACCATCTCCTTCTTTAGTGAAAGAACCCACTCGACAATGGTCCTGATCTCAATGGAGTCCTAAGCCTGGTGTGGCCTTAGATACCTCCAAACGCGAAGTGCTACATCCCAATGACCCGTATAAGCAGTATAAGCAGCGACATTAACTGGCTCAAGACATTAACTGGCTCAAGACACTAACCGGGGATGAAATATTTGGTTGAGCAAGTTTAAATAGTTCAATTTTCCAACTAGTCTCTTCTCTCTCTCTCTCTCTCTCTCTCTCTCTGTGTGTGTGGATCCTTTATAGGACTTTCATCATCCGGAAGAAGCTTTCCTGTAGCGAGCATCAATGGATTCTTCCTAGCGAGCATCAGACCATCGACTGGTTTACATCCCAACATATGCATGGGAATTGACCCCGACCCGTTGGGGAACCCGGTCCACCGGCCCCGGTCGGGGAATCTCTGCTAAACCGGGTCCCGGGGACGGGGATCCCCGTTTTGCTCAAAGCGGGGCCGGGGACGGGTATCACACTCCCGTAACTGTGTATACATGTATACATATTATAATAAAGATTATTAATAAATTAATTTCTTATTTCCTATTAGGTCATTAATCTAATTAGCAACAAACTCATCGCCTCATCCTCACAGTTCTTAGGCGACATAATACGATTAAGCAGCAAACCTACGAGGCCACGATCCAACTCCCAAATCCAAGAGCAGTCGTCGCCGTATGCCCGTCCCCAACCAAGTCACCATCGAACGCCTCCCTTGGTCTGAACTCAAACCTGCAAATCTTATTGCTCGACGAATGATGCAATAGTCGACAAGCTTTTAGGTACTCTTTCTTCTTCATCGTTAATGTTAAAAGGGAAAATATTTCATATGTGATGTTGTGCACATATAGTTAACCTTATTGTGCAAGATGGATTTTCAATAATTGGGGGAGCTATTGAAATGTTAGGGACAGTGTTGCATTTTGGACAAACTCTCCTAAGAGAGTACAAGAATTTAAACTATTTGCATGACAAGTAAGTGTAAATTGTGAAAAGAAATTAGTTCTTGATTGCAAGACAAGGTGAAATTCGGAATATATTATGTTGAATGTTGCTTTGGAGTATAAGGATGTTTTTAGTCGTTTGAGCAAGAAAGAGAGAAGTTATGTTTGCTTGCCTAGTGAAGATGTTTTTAGTCCCTTGTCCTTCGGCACCACCGGGTTTCAATAAGTCTTTTGGCCAAAGAACTGTTTGTCGATTAAAGAAAGCAATATATGGACTGAAACAGTCCCCATGAGCTTGGTTTGGGAGATTCACACATGCGATGAAGGAGATGGATTTTAAACAATCTCAAGGAGACCATACCCTGTTTGTGAAGAAATCAGGAGGGGGTAAGGTAAACAACCTTGATTGTGTATGTTGATGATATTATCGTCACCTAAAATTATCTTTATGAGATTGGAAGGCTCAAGAAGAAGTTGGCAGCAGATTTGAAATAAAAGAATTAGGAAAACTCAAGTATTTTCTGGATATCGAAGTAGCATACTCCAAAGAAGGCATAGTTCTCTCCTGATGGAAATATATTCTGAATCTATTAAAGGAAACAGGGATGCTTGCTTGTAAACCATCAGACACGCCAATGGAACAAGAGTACAAGCTCGGCAAAAAGCCAGAAGATATGCCCATGGACGGAGGAGATATCAAAGGTTGGTAGGCAAATTAATCTACTTATCACACACTCGCCCGGTTATAGCTTACACAGGAAGTGTAGTTAGTCAATACATGCATGCACCAAGGGAGAAACACTTAAAGGCTGTTTACAAAATCTTAAGATACTTGAAAGGTACACCCAGAAAAGGGATTCTCTACAACAGTGGTGCGACACTTATTCTTGAGGCATACACTGATGCAAATTGGGCAGGCTCTGTATTGGACAGTCGATCAACCTCGGGACTGTGCACTTCTCTAGGAGGGAACATTGTCTCCTGGAGATGCAAAAAACAGCCACTAGTAGCAAGATCAAGTGCTGGAGCTGAACTTCGTGCTATGGCTAGGGCTGGCAATGGGTAGGGTAAAGGTTAATCTGTTATCCAATCCATTTAAAACAGGGGTAAAGAAACGGTAATGGATAAATGGCAAAATAATCATTTTGAACTACAATAATATTGTTAAACATCAACATATAAGTAAAATATAAATTCATTAATATAATCTTTATTTTATATCTAATTTGTTCCAATTAGCATTGTGATATTGTTTTAAATATGTTATAATGTAATATTTTACACAACAATATAAAACTCTAAAGACGACATTTTTGTTTGTTATATTTATTTTAGCGACCCCATATTGCTTCTCATTTGATTATCCTAATTTACTCTTTTAGTTGATGGATATGAAAAGAAAATTAAATATCAATTAACATACGTTATACAACGTTTAAAATCACATTCTAAAATATATATTAATATTTAACTTTATATAATGATATGTATGTATGTATGTATATGTATGTGTCCGTGTGTGTGTGTATATATATATATATATGGGTAACGGGTAAATGGAGAACGAAAAATACTTTATCCATAGTCTACCCATTAAAATGTTGGGTAAACGGGTGACGGATAAGTGGATAAATGGATAAAATTTTCTTTACCCATACCCTTATCCAACGGGTCGGAACATAACGGGTAACAGGTTTACCCTTACCCATTGCCAGCCCTAGCTATGGCGTTAGGATTATGTGAACTTTTATGGGTAAAGATTGTCCTTGGTGACTTGGGAATTGATTGGAAAGGAACCATGAAGTTGTACCGTGGCAACAAATCAGCCATTAACATAGCCCTTAACCCAGTCCAACACGACCATACAAAACATGTGGAGATAGATCATCATTTTATAAAGGAGGATTGGAGGGTGGCTTGTTATGTATGCCATATGTACCATCGAAAGAGCAATTGGCTGATGTTCTTACCAAGGATTATCCAGTACTTCACTTCAAGGGATATTGAACAAGCTCTGGATGAAGGACATTTTCACCCCAAGCTTGAGGGGGAGTGTTGGCAGAAACTTACCATCTGATACAAAATCATAATCTTTGATTATTGTAGATCTTTTTGATTTTCTCGATTGTCAGAAAGTTCCCATTCTTGGTTTGTAAATCCCTTAAATTAGGGAATGTATTTTAGGCCTCCTACTCTGTATATAAACCTGTTCATTATCAATAAAATGAGCACAACAGAATTTCTCTAAATCTATACCCTCCTAACATTTGCCTCCAACAGCAGCGACTGCTGCTCATTGCAGTCTCACTTGGTTGCCGACAGCAGTCTGCTGCTTCTGGTGCTGCCTCTCCCTTCTCTCTATCTGCAGTTGCCACCCTGCTCTTTTTGCCAAGTTATTTGAGCTGAGTGAGTAAAGAATCCTAGCTGATTAGCACTTCTATTGACAGCCTCTGTCTCAGCCAATCTTGTTGAGATTCTGCCTTCTCAGGGACTGCAGAGAGTAGGAAAGCTTTTTGGTGTGTAACATGAACCTAAGAGCTTCTCCAACAGATTCTCTAAAAGGGAGAAGTAAAAGGTCAAAATGTCCAAAAACAAATTACCTTCATATCCAACAAATTCTCTATTTTGGAGATTACACAATTGATTATATTATTAAAATATTCATCACAACTCATAAGATATAAAATCTCTCCTAAACATTTAAATTCAAGCAATCTCATTGGTAGAATGAATAAAAATCATTTCTCCCTCATAAGTAATCATTTTTGGAGAAATCTCCAAATTTGGAGAATTTCAATATCTCTATCATACTTTCTCCATTTTGGAGAATTTGTTGGAGCAAAATCCCCAAGATCTCCATTTTAGAGAATCTGTTGAAGATGCTCTAAGGCAATTTAGTTGTTGAAGTAAAAGTAAAACTAGTTAAAGTTTCTCTTCCATGTTTTACCAAATTGCTGTTAGATATACATTTATGTGCTTACGCCTAATATTCAGGTCCATGGAGAAGTTACTGATCCTGAAATTGACATATTTGATCGTGAAAGGGTATTCATTGAGACCGTTCTAAAACCCTTGATACAGAAGTTCCCAAAGCTGAAGGTTGTGATGGAGCATGTTACTACTATGGATGCTGTTAGGTTTGTTGAGTCTTGTGAAGAAGGTATTATTTCGTGAATATCTTCTCTTGTTTTTTCCTTTTCCCATTTTAATTAAGAAATACCTCTACTTCGTTTGCTTGTTTTGTGTGAAGTAATCATAACTGCAAACATATTTTAGGTTCTGTTGCAGCTACGGTCACCCCACAACATCTTCTTCTAAATAGAAATTCACTTTTCCAAGGAGGATTGCAACCACACTCTTACTGCCTTCCAGTACTGAAGAGGGAGACCCACAGTATGTATCTTTTTTCTTCTTTTTTGATCTTCACCAACAAGGAACCGTAATTGAGTTCACTTAGTCTGTTTGTCTATGTTCCTGCTATGATTGAAACATTATCATAGCTTTCACACTACATGACTTGATAGATAATTAGACAATGATTATTTTTCCATCTGTTATCATTAATCGCCACTCGGAGCTTGATTTGGATTTTCATAACAATATATAAACATGGTACGAACCAAATAGACCAAAAAATCCAAATCCAAATTCCCCCAATTCCAAATCCTTACATGAAATCCAAACCCCTTAAAACTATTCCATGAGACCAAACGCCCCCTGGATCTTGTTGGTGATCATTTTGTGATTCCGTCCGACCCTCCTATTATCCAGACTGTTCATATACAAACTGTCATCAGCTGGCAGATTTTCTAACGAAACTATTCTGGAAGAAAAATAGATTTCTTTTGTACCATGTTGGGAATGATTGACATATATGCTCCAACTTGAGGGGTGTTGGTGATATGTATTAGTCCTCTGTTATCTCCATTATGTCTGTTAAGTAGGATCTTTCATTTGTTTCTCGCTTATTTTTATTCTTCCTAGAGTCCCACCATGCACCCTCTATATTCAGCCTGCGTAGATTGATAATAGACATCACATTACATTCCTAAAATTCTTCACAATGTGCATGTTTTTGCACCCTTTATGGCCTAAGTAAGAGAAGTTGACCCCGTTTGCTTTTGGCATTATCCAAAATCTTTAGGGAGCTGGTAATAGAATTTTATTTCCAACCCATCCACTATTTACATTTCACTGTCAAGGGGTTAATAGAAAAGTTATTTGCAGAATCAATTTGGAAATCAGTCTGTTCACTTGGACCATATATTTTTTGAGTATGCAGAAGGTAACGAACTTTAAGCCACCATGCTTGAAGACAACAAACAACCATTCTTTGCCTTAGAATAAAATAGTTTCTAGTTGTTTCCCCAGGAACTTCTTGGTAGTTACTAGGTTGGGGCCAATGTGATGGTGATGCAACCTATCTGGTACGGTGGGAAACAATTGACCAAATATTTTTTAGTTTTTTCTGTGTCCTTGTTCCCATTTATTCGTTATTTTTAGCAAGTGTAATTGAAGTCCACCTATCTTCTGGAGACAAGGAACTGGCAGTTTTGTGCAAACCCTAGTATGTATTTCAATCAAGGAAATATGTTTCAATGCCTTCCATGGACAGGATGGGAAACACTTATTAATTGAACATGGAGGTTTTATTCATAATTTCCACTCCGTAATACGAAAAAAAAGCCAATGGAAGTATGTATCGTTTGTGGCTTTTGCCATCTTGATTTAATAGTAACTTGAATTGTCTTAGCATTCACAAAAGATGTGACAATCATATGGAAGACTGTCTCTAACAGCAATGAACCATCAATATCTATTGGATTGTTATATATTGCAGGTTTGACTACATCAATATTTCCCTATGACTGAGTAATGTTCTATTTGTATTTTAATTGGTGAAACATGTTAATCATGCTGTCAGTTGATGACCTCATGGTTTCTCCATGATGTTGGGTCGGGTGGGTCATAGACCATCTGATTCTACGAAGAAGTAATTGACCGAGGTGGGGAGTTAGTTATGTTGGAAAGGCTGGAGACTCCTCATAGTGGAGCTGTTACCGCCATTTTTATGGTTTTTACATGATGGAATTTGGTGTTTTTGGGGGGGGGGGGGTGGTGGCTGACGCTTGCACCCAAGGAATAGATGACAAACTTTTTGGGTCTAGAAAACTGTAAGATATGAAGAGCTACTGCACCAAGGCACTACTTATTCTTGTGATGCTCAAATAAGAGCAAAGAATCTTGAAGACAACAGGTCATTGACATGAGTTTGACATAAGGTTCTTAGATCTTCTAAAAGATTTAGATGATATCTGATTAATATTTTATGTTTAACTGCACGGGTTCTCTGGTTATTTGCATTTTGATCTCTTATCATAATCTATAATTCTCCCTTGTGGTGAATATGCATTTTCTGACATTCATTTATCACTCATCTAGGACAGGCTATTGTTTCTGCTGTCACAAGTGGAAATCGAAGATTTTTCCTAGGAACCGATAGTGCACCTCATGAAAGGCGACGAAAAGAAAGTGTTTGTGGATGTGCTGGTATATTCAATGCTCCTGTGGCACTCTCTCTCTATGCTAAGGTCTTTGAAGAGGTAACTTTCAACAGCCTATTCTTGTTCAAACCGACTCATGTGCCCAAAAATCTCTTATTCTTATACGTTTGAGAATATATATTTTCTAAGATGCTTGAATATTAATAGCTTACATGATAAGGAACCAATTGGATGGGTCTCTCTGTATGTGCCTGATTATATTGAATATTTTCTCTCAAGCGATCATTTCCAATGTATCATATAGCCTTGTATCTCATAGGACTACCACTTTACGTTAATCTAGTTGCCAAGGATTGTGGTTGTGTAAAAACCTTGAAAATGTGAAGCCTATGAGGGTGAACTGTTGGAATGTTAATTTGCCAGACCCCCCACCGTCTTCCCCAAACTGTAAAAAAAATGGAAGGTTATATTCATTTTATGGATTTTATTTTCATATGCTAGAGTTCTCAAGAAAAGGGGGGGGGGGGGGTGTGTTCTCTACATCCAAATGGAATATGCAGGTTATTTTTAGTTTGCTTGGTTTATTTTATATTATGTCTTTATTAATTACTAGTTCCTTTTTTGTTAAACTTTTTCATTTAAAATTTAGTCATTTGCCTATGGAACTTTCATGCTGGCCTACTCATCCGCCACCTCTTGTGAAAGCTTCAGCGTGGCTTAGACTGACTAAGGAGGCTTGGGATTCTAGATCCTAGAAGGCCCCCTTGTAGATCAATTTTTAGCCGAGAATTCTTACCCTTCGTCTTAGAAACTGAGTGGCTTTTCTTTTTGCCTTTTTAATCGGGGAAGGGCCCAGCCCAATAGGGACAGCACACCCCTAGAAAGGCACTCACTGAGTTACTTACGGAATCTAAAATCTTGAGGCTGATTACGGCCCCTTTGATGAAAGGTAAGCGCTTTGGCTGGCTCAGCAAAGTGTTCATTTCTTTTTCGCCAGGTTTCATTCTCTTTTTTTTTTATTAACCCGCCGGGTTAACTCAACGTAAAGAAAACTCATTAGGTCAACACTAGGGGTCTTCGAGCCTGCTGCGTACGATTAGCCAGCCTTGCGGCGGCTAGGGATGGCAATGGGGCGGGGACCTCAATACCCGTCCCCGTCCCCGATCCCCCGTATGTGTCCCCGTCCCCGTCCCCATCCCCGCCGGGGATTATGATCACATCCCCATCCCCGTCCCCAACGGGGAACGGGGATCCCCAACGGGGAAACGGGGATTTTTTTTAAAAACAAAAAATTATTGAAATACAC